GGGGGAGCAGAACGCACCTTGATAGCGATGGATATAGATAAACTTGAGAAGGGGAAATTGACCTTTATTGATTTCTGGTTTTGTGTAGCATGCCGCTCTTAGCAACAATGCGGCAAACAAGGTCTCGCCTGGGACTTGGGGTTTTTGTTTTTTTTCGCTTCTTCGATAGTGAAGGCGATTCTTGTTTGACTAACATGTTGATACAGTGATGTAAATAGGTTTTGCACCCTTATAGATGTGGACATTTCACTTTGATTATAAAACGCAGTGGATTGTAACAGTTGTAATTTTGTGTGTTTTATGAGCCAACGTGGGTTCAACTTCATTTCATATTTGGAATCGTAATCCGTATGGTAAGATACAAATGCTGTGCAATCGATATGATGATGACGACGATGATGATGATGATGATGATGATGATGATGATGATGATGATGATGATGATGATGATGATGATGATGATGATTATTATTATTTCTAAATACCATAAATTTGTCTAAACTTAATTTAAATCTTCACTTTTTAAATACTTTTTTTTTTTACAATGATGACGATGGATATGATAGTGATGGTGATAATGTGAATGCGTGTTGTTTTCTGATTGTTTAAGTAGCTGTATGAGTCTGTAAAGTAGAATGATTTGTTTATTTTGAGCTCTCTTCTTTTTCGTCAAGAGTAAACCGTTACCTTTCTATGCCTAACACTTTTCAGAATGTTCAAAATATAAATTATATTGTTAGATATTCTATTTGTAACCCATTCTGAACAAAGCCCTAGTAAGTTGACGCTTTTATGTTGTTTATTTACCAGTACATTCGCTTAGTGAGCACTATTTTTAATTTGGTACTTCATAAGGCATTGGCGACTTAGAGTATGCAATTTTTTTTGTTCACAAACTTTGTTTTATTTTCTCTAAACAGATAAAAGCCAAGCCAAACAACAAGGTGAGAACTCGGTCGCTTTTATTACGTTGCGTTGTAACCCACATGGTTTGTTTTGTGTAGTTACAGCGTTTACAGAAAAACATTTATTGGTCGCGTCTGTCCAAGTCATGATTCGCCCCCTCCCTCCCTCCTGCACACACAGTAAAACGAACACACACACACAGTAAAACGAACACACACACACACACACACACACACACACACACACACACACACACACACACTCACAAACACACACCCGCACACATACACGTACACACACTCACTTGCAGTGAAATACACGCTCATTACACTCGCACAATTTGTCCATATTATGCTTTTAGTGCTAGAAAATGTTATGATACCCACTGCAACTTGATGGAGCTGTGATTTACAATGGTTATTTACAACAGCCGTGCAGCAGCAGCAACAAAAACAACCTCTACTTTTTGAGCACCAACAACAACAAAAATTAGAACAAAAAATAATAAAAACAAACATTAAACCCACAACAACAAAGGTTTTGCCATTACGTTACGAAAAAGAATGGAACAGTTCTTATTCCTGCCTTTATTGTGTTTTATTCTAAGAGAAATGCGCCTTAACATATTATGTGGCCTATTTTTATAATAATATTCTAAATTTGTGAGAATCCAGTTTCCGTGATTTCCTTGTCAACAGAATGTTTGATTGAATGAAAGATAGACATGGTTGTGTCCTCTGTGTTTCAGTAGCTGATGAGGATATAGATCCTGACTGTGTGCCGTTATCTAAGAATTATCGAAGCCTTCGATCTTTTGCTACATTAGAATCGTATGACAATGACTGCGCTGAGCGCAAATATCAATTGGAGTTGAGTAATAGTGCACCCGCCCGCCTCACTTTCTACGTGGTGTCACGTGTGGCCGGTCGTCTCATTTGCTTCCTCAAGTACCTCCGCCTCAGCCAGTTTGACCGATATGACGTCAGAGAGTCTCGCTGGCGCCAGATGAAGATGGCGCTGCATGAGGCGGGCGTGGGCGACGCCCTCCCCGACAGCCGAACCGCCCGTTTCACAATGAGGGCGCCTGCAGGGCAAGAGCACAGGTCGAGGGACACTCTTGCTGTTCCCGACGCCCGCAATATTCGGCCCGGTATTTTGTCCGAATCCCGCAGAAGCGACTCATTAGACAGCAGTCGTGGTGGTTCTGCGGTTGACAGGAGGAGCAGGGACTCTGTAGACGTGTACCGCAGGAGAGCAGCTTTTAGCAGACACATGCCTCAGTCAGATGGCCGGGATGATGAAGTATACAGTGCAGGGTACCACATGTCCTCCAATAACCACAGAAACCCCGCGTCAACAATGCCTCGTGGGGGCAGCCAGGATTACGACTCATACGACGAGGACTTGTACGAGTTTCAGGAGCGCGTTCTCAACCCGAGACAACAACAGACGGTTCCCCCGCACGTCTACGACAGGTGGAGTCGGAGATCCAGCCGCCATAGCTCGCGACAGTCCGAGTACGACGGCTCTCCTCCGGAACGAGAGTACTTTGACGTCACAGCTGGGAGACACGGAGACTTCGCTGGCAGAACACCTCGCCACAGCGGCCATAGACTGGAGCAGAAGCAGGTGAGGTTTCTCCAGGACGCCCCGCAGTCTGTGACTGTGTACAAAGAGCGGACGGCGCTCGACTCCGACTCCTCCTTCTCTGACAACGACGACGGGGTTGAGCACTTGTACGTCGCTCCTCGATTGTCGCGACCCGAGCACTCCGACGGCGTACAGTATCAGTTCGGACCTTCTGAGTACTCGAGCTCTGAACCCTCTAGAGTTGCCAGACGCCAACAAGAGTATTTTGACGGCTTTGAGAGTGATCACAGTAATTATGACAACAGTCGGGAGGGGAGTGTTGACGAGCCCAGAAGAAGTGGCCACCACACTCACGTGAAACACCAACAGCCCAAGCCTTTCGTAATCCCCAAGGTGATGACCTCTGACTTTAGCGACAAGCACGAGTACGTCATCCACGAGCCGTACGGGGAGGTGGCTGTGTACGGACAGGAACCGGAACTGGTCCCTCGGGCGCCGCAGATGGAAAATGGCGGAATGCTAGAGAGATATCTGCAGTACTTTGGAGTGGGAATCGAACCGACACCGCCTGTTCAGACGCAGGAATCGCGGCCTGTAGTGTCCAGTTCTTTACCTCCACGACCCCCATCGAAGACGGCGCTGGTTAAAGGTAGCCTGGTGCTTCACACATCGTCGAGTTTGCATGATCACTTCACTGCAAAAAAATCTAGGTTTTCACGACAACACTACGGTTATGCATTCACTTTACAAAGACGTAATGTAAGACCATGAACGGTCACGTCCATGCTCAGTAATCTTACTGCTGTCTGAAGTGCATCTTTTTCTCCTGCACTGGATGCTTGAATCACATGATCAGTTTGTTGTTTGTACAACATCATGGTCACATGATCATTTACATCACGCGTTATACGTTACCACTTCCTTTGTTTTATGTTTTATTGTTTGCCTATGCTTCACTGATTAAAATAAAATATAATGGATTTTGATGTTCACTGTGTTTTAATAATTATTTTGAGCTTTTTGCTAAGCCGGTTCTGTTTCTTCAGGGTTTCTCAAAATCATTGTAACGTCCTCACGTTGACAATTCCTTGCATGCAGCAATGGTTTCAATTTTTGTTCTGCGTTGTACATTCTCTTATGGATGCCATATCTTTCTTTTCCACTGCCCCCCCCCCCTTCCCTCTTTTTTTTACCTCCTTTTCTGGATCTCACCCTTTTTGCTGTGTCCTTTGTTGTCTATTTGGGGCTATTTGTTCTTGTCTATATGTGCTTATTGGCTTTTAGCTATTTTCCTGATAATCATGACGTCTAAGCTTACATGCATCTCTGTCTAGCTCCGCCTCTCTCTCTCGCTCTCTCTCTCTCTCTCTCTCTCTCTCTCTCTCTCTCTCTCTCTCTCTCTCTCTCTCTCTCACTTATTTTCTGCCTCTCTTCCCCTCTCTGTTAAAAAAGCACACTCATGCACGCACGCAAACACGCACGCACTTAAAACGCTAGTCTGGCAATGACGCCTGTCTCTACCTCCTCCAGTGGTGAGCTCCGACTCAGAGACCGAGTCCTCAGACACGAGCACTGAGGAATCCAGCTCAGGTGAGACTGGCCACACAGGCGGATGACGCCATATTATATCTTGATGCTGTGCTGGGTGCAGCTTTGCTCTGTTGACCTCTGATCTCTTTTTAACAGTTTAATCGTACACTATAACGTTTCCTTCTCTAACTTACTGTAACAATCTATAGGTGTGACGTTCCAACTTTGAACTTCTGTAAAAGTAGTTGAAATTCCCACTCTGAATTTCTGTAATAGTGGTTGAAATGTCCATTCTGAACTTCTGTTAGAGTAGTTGAAATGCCCGTTCTGAACTTATGAATCAGGTAATATCCCACTTTGAACTTTTTAAGCAGTTAACATCCCACTCTGGATTTCTGAAACACTTAGCATTTATTTCCCTATGAACGTCTATGAATATTATTTAACTTACTCTTTCTGAATTTATGTAACAAGTAACATTTCTACTCTTTGAATTTCTGTAAAATGGCTAAGAAAAATTTCGGTATCAGTTAATATTTCTACTATAAACTTCTGTAACAGTTATCATTTCCACTTTGAACTTCTGTTAGAGCTAGCCTCTCCCTTCTATGAACTGCTTTCATTGCTATCGTATTATTAAGTTCTATTCTTTTCTTATACAGCCCTTACCAATTACATGTATAACGTTTCTGCCCCGACTTTCTGTATCACTGCACCGTCATAACATCTCCAGCCAGGCATTTTAACAGTATTTTGTGTTTTGTAACAATACCGTTCCCACTGTTCACTTACACGGCTGTTCACAGGTTTTTTTTTCTCCTCATTACACTCCTATCCCCTCTTGTCAATCTGTAGTACGTGTATACTGGTGGTGTTCTGTTCTCTATGGCATGCCTCCACCTAGTACGTAACATAAAACCTTTCAAATTGTTACCTTATTATTTGAAAAAACCTGCTTCTCTTTCCTCTCCCCATCCCAGTTTTTCCTTTTATTCATGTCTTGGGGTTTCAAGCTAAGATTTCTTTTTATTATATTGTAACTTTTTTTTCTGTTTTCTGTGTATTCCCATAGAACAAATCTTCCGAAGTTTGATGCACTCTCTCTCTCTCTCTCTCTCTCTCTCTCTCTCTCTCTCTCTCTCTCTCTCTCTCTCTCTCTCTCTCTCTCTCCTTCCCCCCCCCTCTTTCCACAAAATTAAGCGCCCACGTTTATAACGACATCAACTATAATTATCTAGTTCATCATTCCTTCCCACATCTTTCAATATTTCTTTTTCTGAATGTAATATGTCCAATCTATCTTTCCCGGCGTCTGTGGTGTAGCGGGTAGCCACCTGGTCGTCGCACGCAAGACCTGAGCTGAAATCCCGTGTGGTGGGAAAGTATATCCACCAGTTCCTTGGTACTTCTCCTGGGATGTTGTATCCTGGGTCTGCCCTGGGTGGATTTTACCCTCTGTCCCCTTAATTATATAAATGACTAAACAATTACTATAACCCAAAGCGGAAAACACCTGCATTTATTTATGTATTTATTTATAACAATACATTTATATTTATTGATCTATTTATTTATTATCCATCCGCATCCATCCATCCACCTATCCATAAATGTGTTTGTATAATTTTTAAACTATTTATTGGTTTACATATTTTTATTTATTTATTTATTTACTAATTCATTCATCTATTTATTTATTTATTTATTTACTAATTCATTCATCTATTTATTTATTTATTTATTTACTAATTCATTCATCTATTTATTTATTTATTTATTTAT